AGAGAGAGAGAGAGAGAGAGAGAGAGAGAGAGAGAGAGAGAGAGAGTTCTCCTTTACTAAGGTCTGAAGTGTGCGTGACAAACGTTCAGTTCAGCAGAGCCCTAAACACAAACCTGCATTTGATGAAGGTTCTGCATCGCTAAGTTCATCAACCACTAGTTTCACATCTACTGTTTGTAAAATTACTCAAATGGGCTCTGGCTGATGGTAACATAGCAATCCAGACAAGGGAATAGGGTAGGTACAGGCATGGCTTGATAGCCTTGATTCCTGAAATATGCACTTTGCGTGGGTATCCTACATTCAGCGGCAGGTGTTAGACTCTGGCCATAGTTCCAGTATCTTAGAATGCTACAGTCTGGCCAGAATGGCTTGGGCCCTGTCTTGGTATCATTGTGAAGTGGAATGATTGCTCCTGTTGCACCAGCCTCTAGAATTCTTATGGCCCTGCCTACCTGACAGCTCTTGGTGTCCCCCAGAGTCTGCTCATGCTTGCTGAGGCTCCCGATTCTCTAGCTCAGGATGTGGTTGTTTCCATGGCAGAAAGCACCATAAGAGGATTGGCAGGGCAATTCCTAACGGTTGCAGAACCTGCCAATGTGCTGGGTCAGCCAATTGTCTTCTAGGGTTGGATGGGTTCTGAAGCAAAGCCTATGCATGATTCACCATGCCACCAAGGCCTCCAACTGACTGGATGCTGTTCCTTCCTAGAATTATCTTCTGTCTGGGAGAAAGGAAGATTTTCTTCTGTATTACTGCTTCTTTGTCAAGATCTTTTCCTCAAATCCTTTCTAGGTATCTTTTCACTCTTCAAATAAAGAAGGATTTGGCTCTGGGAAGGCTGCCATGCAGTGATAACTGTACGGCGTTAATGGTGTCACACATCTTACAATGTAAGTACCCAAACTCGACTTCTTGGCCCATTCACCAGGGATAGAGCCAAGCAAAGGAAGGAAGCATCTCCAATTTGCCTGCCTGGCTCTGTATTCAGCCTTAGGAGGAGAGAGAACCTAGCTCAGACCCAGTGAAGTGGTGCTTCATCGCGTTCATTGAGAGCTGAATGAAATCTTGCCCCTACTACCTTGCCATTACTATAAAGCAAACTCATTTATCTGAGTCGGAATGTTCTTGTACTTAAAATAGTGAGAAGGTGCTTCTGAGTGTTAAAAGTAAATGCTGGTTTTGTCCTACCTCATTCTACCTACCCTGCTGTCACTGTCCCTTGACTTGCTGTCCAGGAACTGGTTTGAATAATTCTTACCATGGATGTGAAGGTAGACTGGAGGAGGCCTGGGGAAGAGTGGGGCCTGCCTGGGAGGGAGTTCCACAGGCCAGGCCATGCTGTTCCTGCAGCCTGGAGGGTGGGGTCTAGGCAGTGGGAGATAACATCTCTTCGAAGACCAGCTGGACTTTTTCTATTTTGAAGAGGCCTCCCAAGAATACACTGTTCCTTCATAATCCTGCAGAATCATAGCTTCAGGTTTTTTGTTTATTTCATAAGTTCATTTCTGACCTTTGTTCATTACCTTCCTACCAGTCCATAAATGGTAGATTTCAGATTTTGCTGAGAACAACACACTGAAGTGTTTGGATAGGGACTGCATCCTAGGCAGTTTATCAAGTGATTCCCAGCTGGGAAAAGAGAGCTCCAGCCTCTTAGAAAGGCAGCAGATGAAAATTGTCATAAGCATCAAGGAAAGCTGATGGAGGAGATGGATTTTGTCCGGGAGCTTAAAGGACTACATGGGAACTGAATGTGAAGGTGGTGGTGGGACGAGAAGCCTCATATACAGGGGATGAAGAATGACCACACATAGCTCAAGGACAGTATCTATCTAGGAGACATGGTGACAAATGAAGCATCATGTTGAAAGGTCTTGAGTGTCATGAGCATGAGCCCTGTGCCCAGTATCATACTCGCCACTGACATAGAGGCATGGGGTAGAGCAGATAGGAGGAGCATCCTTCTCCATGAGTTACCTCTTCAGATAGCAATTGAGAGGGTGGGGCTCCAGGTGACCGCTTTTGGGGGAGCCCAATTTTATTCTTAACTGCCTTATGGAGTTGGGCATTGCCTAGTGGCCATCTCAGGTATAGTGTAGAAAACCTCAGCTTTTCCAGAAGGTATGTAGTCAACATTCATTTTGTGGAGAAAAAGCTGTGGTTCTAGTGAGTTAGCATTTCACAGTCAATCCCTGTCATACTCATAGGACTCAAGGTCATGGGCAGAATCACAGCCTAATTGCTTATTTATCTCTCCATTTTCTCACTGGTCCAATATTTGCTGAGTGCCTGCTATAGACTAGACATTCAAGAACCTGATCATTCTGGCTTTGGCGTTCTATCACTCACACCTCTTTTATACACCTCTAGCCAGACAGTCCTTACCAAACATGATTTACATGATTCAATGAATATTCCTTCTTAGAAACTCTTAATATATAATATAATATAATATGATATGATATGATATGATATGATATAATATAATATAATATAATCCTTCTTTGTCAGTCACTAAACAACAAAAATTATGATAAGTGCCACCTTGTTAGATCCTATTATAAGCATTGCGAGCACACAGTGAGCTACAACACCAATCCTTGTCTTCATGGAGCTCACATTTTGGCAGTGCAAGAGTGTCAGACAATGACCAAAATAAGAAAAATATACATGATGAATGTTCAGAGGTGATGAGAGCAATGGGAAAAAATAGAGCATAGAAGGGAGATGGGGGTGGTTCTAGGTGTGGGCACTGGGTCTTTCAATAAAGTGGGGAGGGTAAGCCTACTGTAAAGGTGACAGTTGAATGGAGGTTTGTAGGAAGCACAAAGTAAGCCAAGGAGCCAAGTCCCATGACAGAAAGGTCCACACATTGGGAACACTCTGTGAAAAAGACCAGAGGGGAAGACATGCCTGGAGTGGTTAAGAAATATCAAGAAGGTTTTGTGGCTAGCTGGAGCCTTTGTGAGTAAGTAGAGAGGAGTTAAAAGTACATTAAAGACCTAGATGAGATGGGAAGCCATATAGACAGAAGACTGAGGTAAGAGAAAAAGAACATTTACTTTCAATCATCAGAAGCACATCCATAGGAAGGGATGCTTGGCCTCTCTTTTAAATATAAGAACAAAATCTGAATTAGGTTTTAATAAAACCATATTGGCTGCTTTGGTAAAATCTAGAACTTAGAGGGAATGGTGGTAGTAGACAGAACAATAAGAGGAGATTTTAGGGGAGATGATTGGAGTTGGAGCAGAAAGGCATAACATTTGAACATAACATTTGGCAGTTTCTGCTGCTGCTGATACCAATTTTCTTGCTAAATTGTCATAGAAGTACACAGAGAGGAAATTAAAAATCTCATGTGTTCTTATATTTTCCTTATAGTCATTATAGGGTTTTGTTCTTAAGAAACCTGAAAGATGTAGAAACATTGTGTGTGTGTGCACTGTATTCTTAAAAAAATGGCTCAATTGAGGTGTAATTTACATGCTATAAAATTTAACCATTTGAAATACACAAACCAGTGGGTTTAAGTAAGTTCATGTCCATCTAGCTATGAGTACAATCCAGTTTTCGAACATTTCTATAACGTCAACAGAAACCTCTCAGGGCTGGGGATATAACTTGGCTGGTAGAGTGCTTGCCTAACATGCCAGAAGCCCTGGGTTTGATTCCCAGCACCATATAAATTGAACATGGTTATGTATTCCTGTGATCCCAGCACATGGGAGGTAGAGGCAGGAGGATCAGGAATTCAAGGCCATCTTCAGCAGTATGATGAGTTTTAGGCTGCCCTGAGCTATATGAGACCCCATGTCAATAACAAAGAAAGCTGAGGATGGTGGCACTCTCCCCAAATCCCATCACTTGGGAGTCAGATCTCTGTGAGTTCCAGGATTATCTCAAAATATAGAAAACAGGAAGAGAGGAGACAGAGAGATAGACAGAGACACAGAGACAGAGAAGGGTGAGGAGATGTGTGTACCCCCCAGAGAGAGCGGGGGGGGGGGGGAAGAAGGGGGGAAAGAAGGGGGGTAAAGAAAGGGGGGAGAGAAAGTGTGTTGCTTTGCCATTCTCTACTCTCCTCAGATTCAGGCAATTCCTGATTAACTCTCTGTTTCTATACATTTGTTTGCTTTTTAGGACATTTCATATAAATGGAATAATTATGTGTGATCTTTTGTATCTGGCTTCTGCACTGAACAGTGTTTTTTTTTAAATCTCTGCATATCCCAGTTTATTCATTTCTATTGTTGAATAATATCCCATTTTATGGATTTATTACATTTGTTCATCTAGTCACCTTGTCTGTTAGAGTTAGGGAAGTTTCTAGTTTAGGTATTAATAATAATAGTATAAACATTGGCATACATGTTTCTGTATGTATATACACTTTCTTACTCCTGTATATGTTTTTAGAAAGGTAATTGCTGGGTTGTGTGATACATTTCTCCTGAATATTTTAAAATTTTAATTATTAATGAAAATTAACTGTACAAATTCATGTATATCACTGCATTATTTCATTCTTTGATCAAGAAAGTTTGAGGCTTCTAACTCCCCACCTTCCCTAATACTTGACATTATGGCTATCATAGTAGGTATAAAGAAATATGTCATTACCTGTATAACTATCATTTTTTAATTCTTATTCTTATTCTTTGTTATTTCCTACAATGAAATATGGTCAGACCCTACTGGTTCTTCACTCCAATTCCCTCTGTATCCCCCAACATACCCCCTCCCAACTCCTTGTCTTCTATTTTGTTTTGTTTTTGATTAAGTCCAGTTAGTGCTGCCCCCATGTGCATGGATATGGGGCCAGAACACAGGATATCTACCAATGGCTACACCCTCAAAGAAGAATGAGTCTCCCTTCTCCAGCAGCTATCAACTGCCAGTAGCTCCCTAGTAAAGCCTGGGGCCCAGAGGCCACTCCTCTATCTCTACCAGAATTTTGGTTTGTGTGATCTTGTGCAGGTGATCAAGCTGCTGTGAGCTCACAGTGCACTAGCCTTGTAGTGTTTGGAAGCCAGCAGTTCACAGCACTCCTTCCTCCCCACGCTCCAGTCCTTTTCTTCTCTCTGCCTGCTTATTCTTCTCTGCTCCCTCAACGATGGTGGTGGGAAGGAAAGTCCATTTAGGGCGGGACACCTAATCACTTACTTACAGTACTTTGACCACTTAGGAGTTTCTGCATTGACAGCTGCCCAATGCAAAAGGAGGCTCCTCTGAATCTTAGACACAGAAGGAGCACACCAATTCCAAAGAAGACAAAATGTAAAAAGTCTATGTAAGTGCGGAGCTGCTAGTGCACGTTTAACCCCTGTAATAGTTGTCTCTAACCAATAAACTGGAGACATCTGAAAAAGAGTAAAAGGTTCACGGATAAACTGCCAGCTATTTGGAAAGGATGATTTGTCTATTGGGGATTCAAAATGTTGAGAGTTTACTAAATTCCCAGGGCACAGAGTGGTGACTCGGCTGTAGCTGGCTTGCGCTCTAGTTGATAGTTTATTTGGGGATGTATTAATTTTTACTAGCTTTCTCATAGGAAAATACCAGAGACTAGGTGGTTTAAATGAGGAAACTGACTCCTTCCAATTCTGGCTGCTGGGAGTTTCAGCTGAAGGCATTGGAAGCTTTGCTTCATTCGGAAGCCTCTTTCATCAGCTTGATGAAGGCAGTCTTCTTACTGTGTCCTCACATCATCTTTTCTTCTCTGTACTAATCCCAAAAATCTCTGTGTGCCTGCCTTTCCTCTTCTTAAATGGATACTAGTAAGGCTGAACTACAGTTCTCTGCTTGTGTTCTCACTAACAAGCTAATTCCTCAATGAAGTCACATGTGGTAGCTCGAGGGGATTTCACTTACAAATTTGGGATAGACAAAATTCAGTCTGTAACAGGGGCTAATTGAAAGTAGGCAAAACTGCAAAAAGCATATAGAAGATGGAAAAACCTAACAAAATATTCAAGTGTGATTTTGGAGCTTTTAATGTCTGTTCTGGTTGTGTAACCCACAATACAGGCTGAGACTTCACAGAAAGCCACTGCTTTGTCATGTGAGAATGAGTCCGTTAGTTTCCCCCTGTACAAACAGAAATACACACAAAGCATAAGGTGGGAGGGGACTGGGCTACACCAGCTGCAGAGAAAAGGCTTTTGGGGGGCGAACAGGAGGTTTCTTAGGTTGTGCATTGTTTAATACTTCAATGGAAATGTGAAAAATGTCACTTTTCTATTGTACAGCAGAATTAGGAGACTTTCATGAAGAAACTGTGAGGAAGCATCTGGTACAAACCCAGTATTTACCAAGCCAAGACTGTTTAGAGAGCAAGATCATGCACTTTCATCAGCAGCACATGTAAGTACTTTCTCTGGCACCTGCTTTCCCAATGGAGGACACTAAAGCTCGGACAGACTCTTGAAAGTAAGCCTTTATGTCTGAGGAAGCTTCAGTCTCAAGAAAACACTCAGCTCCTTGTGTATCTCTCAGAGGAAAGGTTGGGGGGGGGGATGTGGGTTTTGATGCATTTATTGGGCTCATTAATTCTTTCTCATTGCAGTGGCCGCAGCCCAGCTGAATCAGACATTCTGCTACTGGACATAGCAAGGAAGCTGGATATGTATGGCATCAGACCTCAGCCTGCCAGTGATGGCGAAGGGATGCAGATTCACCTGGCTGTTGCTCACATGGGAGTACTGGTGTTACGGGTACCAACCCTTCCCTTAAATTCCCTTCATTGTGCTGGGAGTAGTTCTCGTGACTTCAACTTGAATATCTATTCCCTAGAGAATTATAAGACTTTATCTTACCACCAACTAGACCGGAAGTAGTGCTTGTAAATGGTGTACATAAGACTTCCTCCCACAATGTGATTTGCCTCTATATGAGGTCTGGGTTTTGAGGCCATCACACTTTAGATTAGGTCAGCATGGTGAAGTGATAAAAATCAAGAAGCTCTTAGGGACTCTTAAACTGTAGATTCAGATATCCAAAAACCTTAGGCTGTAGTACTTTCCAGATGGTTTGGGGCCACCTAAGTGACCCAAACTGTGATGTGCCCTTACTTATTACTCTTTACCAGTGCCAGCTGGTAGGGAATTAATGTTGAATCCTGCCAGCAACTGTTGCTATTTGCTACATCATCATTTTCCAAGGATTTTGTATTTCTAGTTAGAAATCAACTTGAGGTACCATTGTCTATCATCATTATCCCCCTAACTCCTCTAAACAATTTTGGTTTTCCTGGTCTGCTTAAAACTAAAATTCTTTAGAGGAGCTAGAAATGGGGTGTATGGGATAGCATCAGAATGTCCTAGGGAGCACGCCCATCAGCACTGGGAAGAAGTTTGATGATGCAGGAGACATTTGGGGCAGGGGAGAATGCAGAGGCCACAGGAATGAAGGTACAGACAGATATACACGGAAGTTTGAGCTAACAAGCAGTAGGAGAGATGCCTGTACACTGAACAGCAAAACCCAACCCACATTTGACGATGGGGCCAGTGAGGAGCTCCTCAAGATGTTTGAGTCAACGAGGCAGTAGGAGAAATGGGCTTTTCTTTTTAGCACTTGTATGTGGAAATAGGGAGGGGCGAGATCACAGAAGGCATTATAGCAATCCATTCTGTTACAGTCTCACTGGGCTGGCTTAAAAGTGCCCGTGTTGGTCCTTCTTGCTTCTGTATTGGGGGAACTTGTGTCCTACCTGCAATGCTTAAGGGCAGACACTGCTTAGTTCTACAGATTCTCTCTGGGTAAGGGCTAGCCTCAGAGGATCTTATTCATGAAGAGTACTTTCCGTCACAGTTCTACTCTGGCACAACCCGACTCATGCAGACATGTTCTGAAACTGGCTATCTGTTTCATTATAGGGAAATACAAAGATTAATACTTTCAACTGGGCTAAGATCCGAAAGTTGAGTTTTAAGAGAAAGCATTTTCTCATCAAACTTCATGCTAATATTTTGGTGAGTTGGTTCCTAATACATTCTATTTTTGTTCACTTGGAAGTTCGTCATTGCTCTAGAAATGATTTGAATATAAATGGTGAGAGGTGCCTGGCCCTGAGGGGTGATGGGCCCCCCTTGTCCTCTATATAAACTGAGCAGAGATTTAATGATGCTTTAACTAAAGGCAAAACACTATGCCATCTGATTTGCACTGCAGAATCAATGATACAATAGGGAAATGAGGCAGCTGGACTGAAAGGCGAGTCTCTGTGGATAGCATTTTTGAGGGATCTGACGAGTCAAATGGGGGCCACCAGATCTAGGAGAAAAAAAATAATTATTGGATGTTCTCTTTTATATTTTATGAAGTATCTTAACTCATTTCCCTTAAGGAAAAATTATTAAACATCAACTACATGCTTAGGTTGAGCAGAACGTGAGAAGTAGGTGTTCATATAAGCAAAATAAGTAATTCTTCCGTGACTGTTCACTGCAGAGGGTAAGAAAAAAGGTATTAGAAAGGATGTTTCAATGACTGACCATGACGGGAACAAACTGTATGTGTATCGACTAACATGGGCCCATAGAAGATCCGGTTTGGATTGTATTACCTGGCTCTTGGTATTATGCAAAGGTGTTCATTCGAATAGGTCATGGTAGCAGACCTAGTGTCAACTTTGTGGGAAGCCTCGGGGCGGGGGCTGCATGCATGGACCTGGAAAGGCACGAGAGGAGGGCCAGGCAGCTCTGAGAGCTGGTGGCACTGTTAAAAAGAGGACTGGGAGCATGCCATGGAGCCTTGAGCCAGTGAGTGTATGTGGTGAGTCAAGATGGGAAAAGCTTGTACTTTAGAACTGTAAATCCAAGTTCCCTTAGGACGTATTAAAATATGGACTATGCCAAGAGAGAAACACAAAGCGCTGTAGTACGAGAAAGTATATAGAGGAAGGTGTATTTCTAGCTGGGATATTGAAAACACTTATATACATTCAATCATCCTTACAGAGGGAATGAAGTCTCCTCCCTCCCCTTTCCTGTTGGTCATTTATATCTTCTTGCCACCTTGAAAAAAGAAGCCCTTTGATATTCATTTTTACCTAATTTACAACTTCCTAAAATGTTTCTGGCAGCAAAGAGGCAAGGCAGAAAAGCCTTTAAGGTGAGGGGAACGTGGAAAGCTTCTTAGACAAGGCTCGGTGTATGAGTGGAGGCAGTGTCTAGTCTTCGGAAGGCTGCTAATCATTTGGTTTCAGAGTTGTGGAGCCTGTGGGGAGCCAACTGGAAAACCAGACACTGCCTGGGCTGCTGGATTAACAGTTTAGAAGGCATTGAGGTTGGAAGGTCTTTGGCATTCTTGCAGGATGTTTTGCTTGATAGAAAATGGTTTATACAGGTGTTGTGCAAAGACACTTTGGAGTTCACCATGGCTAGCCGAGATGCATGCAAGGCTTTCTGGAAGACTTGTGTGGAGTACCATGCTTTCTTCAGGCTTTCCGAAGAGCCCAAATCAAAGCCCAAAACACTACTCTGCAGCAAGGGTTCCAGTTTCCGCTACAGGTAATTACACGCTGCATACGGGAAGACCATGCACACTGCTTCTTTTCAATAACATGGGAAGCAGTGGGAGGAGTCTGAATTCCAGAAGCAATAAAGAATCCATTCAACTCACTTGAAAGATTATAAATATTCCTTACTGTTCATTCTTAGTATGTTGCATTAGGTCAGTATTTACTAACCAAAGGGGTTGGATCAGAATCATAGTAAAGATGTAGGGTAGCAGAGGGTATTTGAAAAAAATATGTATTCAATGAACTTACTGTTTCCCTTAAAGGCAGCTTATATGCAAGATGTGGAAGGAAGGCTGAGCAGCATCCGTTAATGGCATTTAGGGGAAATGACAGAGTGAGCAAACACTGGAGAGGGTCAAGGGATTCAAAAGATGGAGCAATCCTGCACTAGAGGCTTCTCAATACAGTTCCCACCTCAGAGGAATTGAAGTGAGGTAGAATTGAGATCTTGTTACTATTTGAACACACTAGCCTTGAACACCATTGGGAGAAGCTTACAAAACTCTAGTGATTACAAAAATAATTCTAATCATAATGTTTCCACATAAGGGATTTTTCAGACTCTGGAAACCTGCCCTTGTAAGAATAGAGATATTTTAAAAACATATTTTTGATGGAATGTTTCCAAAGTGTGCTCTACAAATTTCTGTCTTCTTAAACAGATGATATTGAGCACATTTTTCTCTTTCTTAATAACCTAAGTTCTTATGAAACTCCCTTCTTATCCTTTACAGGCAGCTGTAATGTGACAATGGCCTTAGGTAGAAGAGGCATGTCAGGCCTTGCCCTTTGGTTAAAGGGCCCCGACATTTTGGGTCTTATTATTGTAACTTCTTTCTGCCTCTTGTGTTTCTCCCAGCAGTCAGCTAGATTTCTTTACTGATATAAGCCTACCTGCAGCAATTTTTCCACTGTTTAGTTAGCTGCTTTGCACCTACCTTGGGTTGGGAATCTAAATAAATAATCTCCTTAGAACAAGCATGTAAAATAAGAGTCAGTTGGTATTTTAAAGGTTTTTTTAAAGCCTATGTTTTGGATAGTTGAAACTGCTCTATCGTTGGTGTTCAGATAAATAGGTATAGCATCAATATGATAGAGAGTCACAAGGTATGCTACTCATTCAGACACTTTAGGCTTCAAACAAAGGTGAGGTTTTCAGGTTTTAGTGGCGCATAGGCTTATGATGGAATTAATGATTTCTGTCTCTTATTTTTGATAGTGGAAGAACTCAAAGGCAACTTTTGGAATATGGGAAAAAGGGGAGGTTAAAGAGCCTGCCGTTTGAAAGGTGCACCCTTTTCCTTCTCTCTTCTCATGCTGATTGCAAGTTGAATTTAGAGACATCTATACTAATTTTCATAATGAGCATTTCAATGACTTCTCTGTTTGGGGATTTCAGGAAACAGTATCCATCTCAGTATCATGAACGGCAGTGCAGGTCATCACCAGACATTCTCTCTGATGTGTCAAAACAAGTAAGGTTTCTGAAAAGCCCTATTTTAGATAAGTATAAGTCATCCAGTCTTCAAACGCTTCTAAGAATATATTTTGCCAGAACCATCCACTGTGTACCGAGGTCACTCCATGTGAGGTTACCACTTGGAGAGGTCTTGGCACAGTTATTCCTGCTAATAGGCCATTTACAACTAACTGTGTACTGTGCACAAGGGAAACCCCTGGTGTTCCAGATACTAATACATTTCTAGGACTTCATAATTTTAAAATTCAAAGCTCTGTTATTTTACCGGTGAAAACCATAAGTCTTCAAGAAAGGTATATGGTGTTGTTGCTTACTTGTGTGACATGATTTCTGGATACAGTTATGCCCCTTGAACTGTAAGATGATGGCTTCATTTGAGACTTCGATCAAGAAACTTGTTGATCACTTTTCTTTGGCACTATCTACAAACATTAATTGTAGGTACCATAAACTCTCATGCCTTCACTCAAGTCACAGATGATTTTTATCCAAAAGGCATCAGAGGGAAACTGATGAAAGGGACCATCTAGATTATGACTCTCTCAGGCCATTCACAGCTCTCCTTTCTACCTTTTATTTACAGAAACTATGGAGGAGGCTGGAGTAGGAACATGAGACTGCAGTGCCTAAGGTCCATATAGCTAGTCAAAGGCAGTCAGGGGTAATCCCACCTATTTCGTTGATATAGCTACCAAACTGAACTGCTTGAAATACAATGGTACCTGCAGGACCCATGAAATGTGGAAGCTAGAAATAGGATGTCACTGAGAATGAAGAATGCTACATATATTTTCTAACATACAACTTGGGGCACAGTATAAGTCATTACATATATTTATCTGCTGTGGAAAAGAACATGGATTTAAATGACTTTGTAAAATCAGCCTTTCATAATAGCAGGTTAACTGTAAGACCCTCCCCAAGGCCAACTAAACAGCTTCTTTTCATCTGATATCAATGTGTCTTGTTTTTCAAGGTGGAAGATCTGAGGCTTGCATACGGCAGTGCTTACTACCGAAATGTGAATGGAGTACACGCATCTGAGCCTATGCTAGACAGCAGGAGGAGGAACTCAGCAGTCGAGGTGACATTTGCAGCAGAGCTGGAGCGTTCCAAACCAGAGGCAGATCCCACACCGCTCCACCCATCCCAAAGCAGTTCCTCTTTCACCTTTGTTTATGCGGATCCTGTCTTTACCACGGACCCTGATCCCATAGACTTCTTTGAGGAACGGAGCCCTCTAAGCTCCTTCCAAACAAACTCCAAGTTTGTGGACAATCACATAAGCACATCTCCTGGTTTCACAAGCAAAGTGAGTCCAGCAAGGCAGCTAACATACACCGATGTGCCCTATATTCCTTGTACTAGTCAACAGGTTGATATTATGCCTCCTCAAGTCTTTTTTTATGTGGACAAGCCACCCCAGGTACCCAGATGGTCTCCAATCATGGCAGAGGAAAGTGTGAGACCAGGCAGCTGTATAGATCCCAGTGCAATAAAACCAGCCAAAAGGAGCCCAAGGAATACCAGGATAAAAAGCTTACAGCAAGACCTTCAAGAACTCCAAGAAGCTATGGCTAGAACTAGTGGTAGGAGCAATATCAATGTAGACCTAGGGGAGGAAGACCCACATTTAGATGATGCATTTGCATATAACCTTCAAGAGCAAACTCCTAAACGATCTCAGAGTCAATCGGACATGAAAACTATCCGTTTTCCTTTTGGGTCAGAATTTAGACCTTTAGGACCTTGTCCTGCTTTGACTCGTAAAACAGATCCGTTTACATGTACATTTGCAGAGCAGGAGTTTACCACAGTTCTAATGGACCAGAGCTCAGCAGAAAGGTATGTAGCTAGTGAGTCCAGTGATTCAGAATCAGAAATTCTTAAACCAGACTACTACTCTTTGTATGGCAAAGGAACAAAGTCACCTAAGGCCCGAATCCGCTTGTCTTCTGGTAGTCTGCAGCTAGATGAAGAGGATGAAGATATTTCTTTCACCACACCAGGTGCTGAAGACAGAACTTTGCTAAAGCCATGCAACTATTTCTTAGCTTGAAAGAGGGAACTCTGTCAATGTACCTGGCCAGTTCCATGTTACTACCTTAGGTAAGACGTAAGAACCTTTTGATACACCGTTTCCTTAGTCCTCTTAATTGATGCCAAGAGACTCTTCTCATTTCAGGCACCCAGCTTAAGAAAGATCAAGTTGCTGCCTCATTCTATGAGCTTCACTCTTGTCTTTCCTCCAAACAGACTCTTGAACATGCCTTCTCCTCCCCAGCACTATGGCAGTGTGAGGGAAGTGTATGACACCACCATTATACATTTCTTTGAGCAGATATAATAAATGAAGAGCCATTCTTCAATGCTGAAGAATGATGATGTGGTTGGTGTATGGACTGGCTTCTAATGCCACTTTGTGATTTAGCAGTCCATGATTATGTTGGTGTTGTGTGTGTGTGTGTGTGTGTGTGTGTGTGTGTGTGTGCGCGTGCGTGCAAGCGCGCACACGTGCTTATGTAACACTAAATTATGGTTTCTCTCCTCATGACTTGTTTGGGACCCAGTGAACAGTCTTGTTATATACTAAGAATGTTAATATACATAGGTGAGTGGCATAGATCCTCTTAGCAGAACATGTTTAGAATTAATAGAAGATTTGACAGAATCTCACTGCTGGATATTCATGGATTAGGCTCATTTCTCAAGCCAGATAATGTGCCTGATGAAGATATGATGTTAATTTCTAATTTCTCTCTTCTTAACTACTTATTATATATGGTAGGAATCAATGTTAACAAGCAAGTTTGTTTATTAATTTCTCCTGCCAGAATTTATTTTTGCCATATCTTGGTTGTATGCATGTAGGCAAGGATCTGAGGTGTTATTTTAATAAAGAGTGATGGAAAATCCACTCAAACAGAAGTTATATGTATGGCCTTCTTTTTGTTTTAATAAAGTCCGGAAGTAGGTAGTTCTGGCCTATAGCTACAGAACAGGACCGTTAGAGAATGGAACAAGGACAGGGACAAGAGAGCATGTATGGCCAGGGTGAAGTGGGAATAAGCAATGGCTGAGACAAAGACAACACTGACACCAGGCTCTGACAGGGAATGAAAGTTCTCATGCTCCTCTTGCCTAATCCTCCGGTATGTCGGGACTTACAGGGATGTGACGTGGTGTGAATCTCAATTCGATTGCTTTTTAAAAATGTTATGTGTATGAGTGTGCATACCATGTGCATGCCTGCTGCCCGTAGAAGCCAGAAGGTGGGGTGGGATCCCCTGGAATGGGAGTTACAGACAGTTGTAAGCTACCATGTTGGTGCTAGGAAGCCAGCCCAGGTCCTCTGCTGAAGTGGCCAGTGTTCTTAAGCACTAAGCAATTTCTCTAAGCCTCAAAATTCTACTTTTGACCCATTCAATATTTGTCTACCAATCCTCCTGGAAGACTATTGAAGAGTTTTGTGATAATCTTAAGTTCAATGTATTTTCAAGACAATGTTAAATATAAATGTCAAATATGTGATGTGGTAGCATAAACAACTTCATATGTAATTTAATAAGAGAAATGGTAGATGACACATTTCTTTATTCTCTACATCAGAAAAAACAACTTTTACATGCTTCATTCCACTCCTTTTTTTCTGTTCCTGGACACAAATCCACTAAGTCACAGACATAGAGTAGTTCTTTAAAACTAAGTATATACTGAAGCCTGACCACCTATACATCATTTATACAGATCTTTATTAGATTTTATAAATTACCTGTAATATTTTCTCCACAAGAAATTCAAAATTGTGTATGTTATATGCTTTTTCTCATCTCATCTTCATTTTTAAAAACTTTGGCTAAATATATATTTTCCTTAAGAACTATAAAGTTCAAATCTGTATGTGATATTTTATTAAAATGGTAATTAGGGAGATCATTGAATTGGTTGTCTGAAGACATTTTTGTTAAGGTAGGAGACAGAAATCAGGATATATGTGTTCAGCTATAAGTAGAGTCAATTCTTAGTAACTTTTCATTTCAATGGAAACCTTGGTTACGTTCTAATAATAAAAGGAAAAGGAAGAATATTTTTAAACAATTAGAATAACTAATCAGACCAACTCTCAAGAAAACAAACATCAAGGATCATAAAATTTAAATATTTATTTTTTTAAATCCCCCAAACACTGAAGTATGCTTCACCTAGAAACAGTCTACAGGACTAAAGCTATAATGAGTAAGCAATACAAGTTGTATTTGGGATGCAGCTATGGGGTAAGGTTTTACACAATCAATTGATGAACTTGTTGATTTTATTTTTACAAAAATACGAATGTAATCCATGATTCAAGTCACACAATTATTTGTAGAGCATTGTGGAGAACAAAATGTAATTGAGTTTCAATTACAGAGCAGATGAAAAAAATCTAACCAAATCATTACTTCAAAATACAGTCAAAGGCAAGCAACTGTTCCAGTATAGGCACCAGTGACAAGAATGTTCTTAGCACATGACATTACATCTTCTCAAGTGTCTGTATTTCTTTTTTCAAAGAAGGGATGTAATGGCCACTTCAACTAAAAACTGTATTGTTCACTTGTACAACAGCTTTCTTGTAATATTTGGCAGTTTTCTAGATACTTTAAAAATCATTTGTGCAAAAATCAAATGCACAGATACAAACATTAAAATCTTAACTGTTGAAATTAATCAGTACCAACATGTCTACAACTATGAAACTATAGCCCCAGATCAGCACTTAGGCAAGCATAATATATATATTGGGCTAAAAAAAAAGGATATTATCCACTTAACAGTACCATAAATAGAACTGAAAATTAACTGTACAGTCTATCTTACCTTTGCATGAAGAGAAATGATCGTGCCCTATGGTATTTTCATATGAGCTAGACAATGTTCACTTAAATACCCTTTCAAAACTGAACACACTATGCTTATGTGTGGATAATTATAAAGAAAAACGTATAAATAGTTTCTACGAAAATGCGTTACCATGACAAAAGTTGCTGGTGTCGTTATGTTCATACCTATCAATCAGGTATCTACTCACAAGACAACAAGGTAGTTAAAAGGTTTCTAAATCCAAACATGTACTACGTTATTTGAGCTGAAGATTTAAAGATTGAAGCCAGACAAACTCTGCCAGTTAAACCAAACCTTCATTCTTGGCTAAATGAGATTACTTTAAATGTCTAACCATGTTAAATAAGGGTTCATTGCTCCTTCCGTGTGAAAGAGAAGATAAAAACACCAAGAGGTACTTCTTTTGCTACATGTTGCCTGGAAATGCTTCAAACACAAGGTTCTCAAATGTGATAAATGTGGAGCTGCTTGGAATCCAGAACACCTCGCTAGAAAAATCAATACTTTTCTAGGTGTTTTATCCAAGACCTTATTAAAAATATTGGTTTTAAGAAGGTATGTCTTATTTCTACCTCCCTACAGTCATTTTTAGAATGTTTACATAAGAAAAAAAAGAATGTTTTTTTAAGCTTGATGATTTACAGATGTTCAATATTTAGGATGACTTTGAAAAACCTGTATGTTTCATGAGTGTACAGTTAACTAAAGATTGAAAATCAAACACTATTCATTCTAGTAACATAAGAAATAATGGTAACTAAAATTTAAAAAAAAAACTGTATCTCAACATTTACTACAATACAGGCAAAACTATAGTATTAAAATTATTCCTTACAAAATAATCTCTTTAAAATACAAAATGATAGCCACCATCACAAAATAGTTGAATAGCTTCTCCTAAATCTTCAATGTCGCAAAAATCCAAAAGGCACCTGGAGCTCATGGGTTAAGCATTATTAAGGTTGACATAGCTTTGGTGGCTTTCTCTGGGTCCATATGACGCAGAAGCCAACAATAACAACAACAAATTTCTTAAGAGGATTCATCAGCAGAACACCTATAAAATTAAGAAAAGTATAAATCAATGTTTATTTTTAGTTAAGTCATCTATAGTTCTCACTCATGAACTCTACAAATGGAGACAAATTATTTCCATTGAATCTTATGTATATGGATGTTAAAAGATGCAAAGATGGTCAAAAATTCCTCTGCATCTGCTCTCACAACTTGCAATGAATCTGTTTGTAAACAAGAAAAGAGATAGGAGTTTCCTATAAGAATCTAGGAGATCTTAAGAATGCTTTAGCTCCTGAGTCCTCAGTAGGCTTTGTTAGATGGAAGATAATTAAGAGGGATTTTATAGGCCACATATTTAGTTTCTCAATTGGCCAAAGAAATCTAAAGATGGGAAAAGAAGAGATATGGGATTAATGTTAAGCTTTGTACAATCATGTTTGAACTCACTTAAGCTAATGAATATATATGTATACATACAAGTCTTGTTTAAGAAAAGAAATTTCAAATCAAATGTAAGAACTTTGTTGAACAAAATCAAACTAGTAGGAGACAAAATAGAAACTGAACACAAAGCCTCTATTAGTGTCTAGATCAGTAGTTCACAACCCGTATGTCACTACCCCTTTGGGGGTTGAACCACCTTTTCAAAGGTTTCGTCTAAGACCATTGGAAAACACAGATATTTGCATTACTATCCATAAAAGTAGCAAAATTACAGTTATGAAGTAACAATGAAGGTAACTATATGGTTGGGGGTCACCACAACATGAGGACCTGTATTAAAGGGTCACAGCATTAGGTAGGTTGAGAACAACTGGTCTGGACTTTTCTCTCTAAATCTTTTAATCAACATTTCATAAGTGGTCTAATGAAGGAACTTTGTTACTGGAAATAATCAGAATAGTGGCATTTCTGCAAATACTAAGAGTACTGCCAAGAATGGAAATAGGCGTAATGTTACATGTACCCAAATCTCATCCTAACAGAGAAAGGACAAAACCCTGGGCTGTTTGGTTCAATAGAAAACTACCTTTCCATATCTAAACATACTGGACTGTCTCAGTGGGTAAAGTGCTTGAGGTCCAAGCACAAGGATCTGAATTCAGATCCCCAGTGCCCATGTTCTTGTCAGGTGTGACTGAGCCCCATACCTTCAGCACTGGAGGACAGAGAGGAGTATTCCAGGGGATAACTTGATAGATTGCCTGGCTAAAAGGAAAAGCTCCAGGTTCAGTGAGAGACCCTGCCTCAAAAATAAGGTGGAAAGCAATAGGGTAACAAATCCAATATTGACCTGTTTCCTACACAGACCCATGTGCAAGATAGCTCACCCACATACACATGTACGTATACAGCACGTACACACACACACACACACACACACACACACACACACACACACACATTTACAAAAAGCAATGTTTAAGATGGGCAAGAAACAACTGTTTTCAAGCATACAACTATTAAGAAACAATTCTGCAGAGGAAAATATGAATGACTGCATCAAAGTAGCCATATTCCATCTTAATAACATCCAAAATGTCAACATAACTTTGAAAATGATACTTCAAACTTACTTTTGAAATTTTTCAATTAATTTCTTCACCATTTTATCTGTGATGCCAGGACAGGCAGCTTCAGCCACAGCAATACTTTTCTCAAGTTCTTCAATTGCCTGGTTTCGGCTTGCATTATTCTCATCCTGCTGTTTAAGCTGACAAAGAAAGATAGCTATAACATTTAAAATATCCTGCCACTTGAGACAGATAGTGGATGCTAAATAACCCACACTTACTTCAGCAAATGCAGGTGTGATTATCATAGACAAACAGCTCAAGGTTTGCACAAGATCTTGCTCCTTTGAAGAAATGATACAGATTACACACATGAAATTAAAATAATCATTCATGGCTTTTTCTAGATATTTGATAACAAATGGGAATCAATTTGAATTCTCCCTTCAAAAGACTCAAGATAAGACTAGTCCCTATGTTTTCTTTCTGTCACAACTTCTCATCCATCAGTCGAAGCCCCCCAACTTCTAGGATTCCAATAGATATCTGGTTCCCTGGGTTTACCTCTCTACATGGAAATGAATTTTAAAAATAACAGTGGCCATTTAAATGACTTCTATGACTTAATTAGGTCACAGTTAATGATAAATGAACATTATTATGCATATAGTGAGGCAGACAGGCATGCAGGAGTATTAAATTCTCACAGTTTTGTACATTATAATCTCATCATACCATTTTTAAAAAGTCTATAAGTAGGGTATGATCAGATGAGAAAAAATTAGAATGATAGGTATATGAAGATGATATGATGAAATCTACTACTTTGTTAAATAAATAAAGTGCTTAGCTCCATATACTTACATCCCCATTCTGTAGTTTCTTTGGATCAGGCTTCTTACGCACAGTGGTGAAACTCCATTCAGGGTGAGTATTACTTTCCCTGCTGGTGGATTCCCTAAAGAAATGCCAAAGATGCTAAGTAATTCGACATGGCAAAAACAGTCAATCTGAAGAGCTCACTGTGTCAGTGTTTACAAACTCACCAGACAACTGACCTCAGTTTCAGGTGAGTACTTGATTTTACCCAAGAATAGCAGCAGTTCTCAGCCCTAAGTGAGCACCCAAACCCTATGTGCATAGCCCTACATGCTAATACTGTCATTCCCCGACGCCTGAATCATGAACCCTAGGAGAATGCCTTGTGTTTTTAAAGTTCCATCAAGAAGTTTTCATGGGTTTTCCATTAAGGTTAACAAGCCTTAGATTGGGCACAAACTATCCTGGTACATTTTATTCATTTCAAATATTGGGCAATTTCTCATAAATGCAGACACCTGAGGACACTGTGGGAAGACCTGCTGCCTTCGTGGAGGTCTACCTACCAAAAGATGAAATCCTGTTACAGCCTTTGGATTTTTCTAATCAAGTTAAGATAAGCACACAGAAGCAGAACTATTAACATAAGTACTGCTATTTTTCAAAAAGACTAACTTGTCCACAGGGTAAAAATCAACCATAAGTAAATAGATGTAGCAGTTCACAGATCAGTCTGATCAGTTTGGTTCGAGACCAGAAAGTAGGAAAGGCCATGAGATCAGTTCTCCAAAGGGTTCTGCAGGTTGCCATCACAGTGTGAGAAAACATTGTTCCTTGTTGCTTCTTGTGAACTAATAGAACACCTTTAATCAAACTGTATTACAAAATTTTGTAATATACTCAAGTATCCACTAGGGGTTAGACCGAGACCATGCAAAAGCAGACTTTTTCTCCTCCAAAGCATGTTTCCAAATTCATTGTATTCCACAGACTGTAAAAGAAACTTCACAGTAGCTGAAGTGGGCCCTCAGAATGTGATTTATAACTTAGTCTAAAACAAGCATACAAGGTCACTGCAAAAAGGCAGAGCGTATGAAAACGGGCTGCCTACATAAAAACAGCAGTAATGTGTACATACGAGTCAGAGCCCTCGGAATCAGATTCATCATCACTGTGTCCTTCTGCCTTCCATCTCTTAAAGCGATCGATCAGTTCAGTCAGATAAGAAGTCTTCTTTGAATTTTTCACAATGAACTTATGTTTCAAAAGTTCTTTAGCTGTAGGGCGCTAAGGCACAGACACACACAAGAAAGAAGGACGCATGACTATTTTGAGGATCTTGAGATAGGTGGTAAAACATCATTTGAATTATTAAACTGAAATCTACAAAATCATATCTATAGACGCAAGGACAATTAAAATGTAATAGGAAAACTGACATTTCTATTTGTTGAAGTGGGTCAAGGTAGCCACTTTAAATTCGCCGTTTTAGCAGCCAAATTTGTTAAAGCACGGTAGACAGATGCTAGGATACCTCATCAGCATGCCCATTAACAAAGCCTTTTCAGAAATAGTGGGACATAGAAAGTAAGCATTTAAAATGCCAAAACAACACTTAAAGACACTTTATTATATTGACTGTAATTTTTTAAAAATTGTGAAAACTAGCAAGATTGCTGTAATTTGGTTATCATCTTCACATCTTATGAATCCCTAATTTTGTCATTATCTGCCCACATCTTAGTATATGCTTTTCTATCAAACATTAATTCTTATTGTCTATAAATGCAAACACCAAGTGCTGTGGGGAATATGCTCCTTTCAGTATTTCATTAATATTGGAATGTTGACTGTCAAAATAAAAATAGTTACATTCAACTTAGAAAAGTGCTCTTGTCTTTTTAATCGCCAAGAATACAAGCAGGGTTATTTGAACAACACCAAGACATATAATAAATGTAGTCAATTCCATCACTAACAGGTACGTGTGTACTTTTAACAAGTAACAGAATGTTCATTAATTATTTCCCCAAATTTTGTCCTTGAAATAGGAAATGATCAGGTAGCTGGGGACTAAGAAGATGATGTCAGGGAAGACAAAAAAGGACCAAGGATCTGGTTAAGAACAGAGTGGAATTAGCAATACAGAAGGAGAAGCCAGCTTTGTGAGTGGATCACAGATGTTTTTCGCATGCACTGTATTCTCCAGCATAGGAAACACCACCTTTGTTAGAAGTAGATGGACAATAGGAAACCAACAGTGGTAATAACAACATATACTCACAAACGATGGATCTTTATTCAGGCAAGCATCAATAAACTCCTTGAAAGACTTAGTAAAGTCTCCCACAAGAGTTGGGGGGTTGTTTTTTGGAATAAGAAATAGAACTCTCATTGGATGCATGTCAGAATTCGGAGGCTCTCCCTTGGCAAGCTCAATGGCAGTAATTCCCAAAGACCAAATGTCAGCCTGAAAAAGAAACAATAACAAAAACTGTTTATCACCTTGAAACTCCTTTCTAGGATGCTGATCCCAAATCCCTGAATTGACATATCAAGAAATGTGAATTGCAATAATTTTAATCAATGGAACTCATGAATTAAAAATTTAAATCTCATATTTTGTACAGTCATAACACTACTTGATTGCTAAATAAATAAACCAGATGAAAGTCCTTGCCTTGAAGAATCTCACATTCCAATAAGAGGGACAGATAAATGAGTGACATAATGTCAGATGGGACTAAGTTCTGTGGGGAAACAAGAAGCAGAATAAGGAAATAATGACCAAAGCAGAGACGGGAGCTCCCTGCTTATGTGGGATGGTTGGGAGAGACAGCTCTGTGCAGGGGGTGCTTACAGACAGTTCATCGGGAGCAAGGCTATTCCAGAGAAAGCAAGAGAAAGTCCTGAGGTCAAAAGGTGCTGTGTCTGAGGAACAGCAAGGCCATGATGGCTGAAGCAAAGATGAGAGCAGTGGAAGACAAGGGTGGCCAGCCAGACAATGGCCAGATCATCAATGGCCCCGTATGTGACTCTAAGGACTGGAGATTCTAGTCCAAGTGCGGTGAAAAGCCATCGAAATAAATAGGGTTCAAATATTACCAACACCAATGGGATTTATAATTAAGAAACAAAATATGACATAATTTCCTTTAGAAGCACTTGTGAAGGAAGGGAAAATTAAAAAGCTTATTGACAAGGCTATAGCCAATTAATTCCATCTGTATAGGGAATACTTTACTTTAGAGTCATAAGCTGACTGTTGAATAACTTCAGGAGCCATCCAAAATGGAGTTCCCACAAAGGTGTTTCTTTTAATTTGGGTGTCTGTCAGCTGGCCAGCAACTCCAAAGTCAGCAAGTTTAACATCACCTTGTTCTGAAAGCAAGACATTGGCAGCTAGGGGACAAAGAAAAACAAAATGAGTATCTCTCGGTTTCTCCAAAACGTGTGTTTTTCTCAGGTTTCTATTGGACTTTTGTATACCTTTAATGTCTCGGTGAATTTTCTTTTCGGAATGTAGATAGTCCAGACCTTTCAAAATCTCCTTGAGCATGGTGGCAATCTGGAATTCATCAAATGGACCAGCACGGAGCTTAAGAAGAAAACACATGTACACTCACACACTTTAAAAAATTTGGAAAAAAAATTCAAAATTTGTATTTTTGAAACATAGGGATCCCTTAATGATTTGAAATAGCTCATTAAACCAACATTTGAACAAATGAGGAGAAAAACTTAAAAGAGAAAAAACAGTAAAAAAAGTCACATCAAATGCTGTGCAGGCTTTTAAATGATGAATTTGCAGGATAGGGCTACAGCTCAGCTGGTGGAGTATGTGCCCAACATGAGCAAAACCCTGAGTTAGATCTCCAACACCCATAAACTGGGTGTGGAGGCACATGCCTGTAATTCCAGCGCTTGGGAGATGGATGCAGGAGGGTCAGAAGTTTAAGCTCATCTCTGGCTACACAGACAGTTTGAGGCTAACCTGGGCTGCAGGAGAGCCGGGGCTGTGTAAGATCTTGTCTAAAGCCAAGCCACCCATATACACATAAATAAATGATTTATCTTAAAAGCTCGGCTAAGCAATTTTCCCGACATACTAGCTCCAAATTCTGAGGGTTCTAAAATTTACATCCAAGATTTAACAAATAGATGCAAATGATAATAGAAGCGCTGTCACATGGGGAAAGGGGAATGAGTCTGTTACTTGAGGAGTACAACTTTGTAAGGGAACAACAGGGACGAACAGAAAGGCTAAGAAGAAGGGCTTTAGGGGTCTGAAGGGAATACACTTAGTGTAGAATATGCATGTGTGCATGCTAGTGTCCTTATGCCACACCACACTATGCCCTAGATAAAAGAAGAATGCAAAAACAAAAAGAAGTCAGCTACTTGAATTTTGTACTTGCTTTTAAACAGTCACTACGTATTAATACTGAACTGGTTTTTCAATCAGACACTCCTAATTTAAATTCAGCCACGAATATAATAACTAAACTATTCAGACTCTCATTGTAAAAAATTCAGATCATGGAGGAATAATATTTTTCTAATAAATATAACACATTTCCCTTTCTTTCCCCACCCCTGTACCAAAGCCAGTCATTCCAACTGGAAGACAAGGAAAGCAATCATTAGGTTTCAGGAGAACTTGTAATGGAATACCCAAAAATCTCTTTAAAATAAATGGTCATTTTAAAATTCTGGTACCTCATAAAGCACAAACAGTGGACTGTACAATATTATTACAGGAAGGGTGGGAAGCTGAAGTCAGAGGGAGGTAGAGTTCTGTTTGCTGGAAGGAGGGGAGAGGTGGTACAAATCATACATTGCCTATTTTGCCTCACACTGGGAGGGATTCACAGCTCTTTGGCACCTTGAGTATTTCATCTTTCCATGAATGCCATATTTATTCTGAATAAAGGGCACTTTTATGTCAAAATTTAACAGCCTAAAATAGACCTTGTACTCACTATTAAGAGTGGTCTGGGTATAAACTGTATCCTCCAGGGATGTCTGTAATTCAATAGATCCCGTTCCTAGGTAACATTATCTATTTACTTTCAAATCTATCAACTATCTCAATTTTATTTTAATGTAAAGGTTAGTGATTAACGTGATTCTAAAGGTGAAAATGAGACGTTATTTTATTGATGGCTGGCAAAGAAATTCTGTGGAACTACCAAATAACCGAAGGACATACATCATATGAGTTAAGACTAGAATTTAGTACATAATCATAAAACATCAGCAGGGCCAGAGGCATACTCTTGGTTACTTAAGAAATTGGGCAAGGACAATTTAAGGGCACCGACTATCATTTTGAATGGTTTCTAGGTTCCTAACATAGAACTTTTAAAACATTTCAGTAAGAACAACAAAAAGGATCTTAAAGATTCATTACCATATATGATATATTTTAGGATTAGTTGAAAATTCAAAGTAAAATTTCAACTGGAGGTTGAAAGGGAGTGGGAGGGAATATTTTGTGGTGGGGGGAGGGCAGGAAGGAGGAGAAGGATATGGGATGGTGGGTGTGGGTGGATTTTTCTGGACCATTACCATACCAAAAATGGCCTCAAAACTTGTAGTACACACATTTCCCAAGGTGTGCTGGCAGTCAGGAAGAAAAGAAAACAAGGTAGGCTAGAAACAGAAGGAATGTCACACAGATGGAATAGAAGAGGAAATGTTTGTTTGCTTTGCTCTTTTAAAATTTCAAATACAACCTTGGGAGATATAATGCCAAGGTCTTGGAATGCTTAACTGAAACTGCTCTGCAACATTCTAAGCCTCTGCCCCAGAGCAACATACCTGCCTCGTATAATCTGCCTGGGTTTGAAAGGAAGGAGATGCAGAAGAGGGACAATTGCTCTTTTAAAGACCCTGCACTTGTGGGTTTAAGGGTTTTCCCTACATTCCTTTCACTTCCTGCCAGTCCCTAAGGCAGCATGCTACAGTAGGCCTTCTTTTACAACTAGCATATTGTTCCAAGCTTCTTTCCATGGTGCTCATGCTTTATCCTATTTATCCCATTATGTGTCTTTGTGCAAGACAATGGAAATGTTTTAGAAAGAAGCAGTAAATAATAAATTCCATAAAATTGCATCTAATATGGTCCAAGTCTGTTCATCTACAACAAATGACCTTCCTGGAATAAGACTCTGGAGGTGTACAGTGTATAATCCTGACAATAAATCATAATTCATAGTCTCACATTATTCAATTAGTAGGGTGCCAGTTTGAATTGAGAAACACTCTGCTCAGAATCCATCTTGCTTTCTCTTGCTACCCTACAACAAATTCTTAGAGAACCAAAAACAATTACATTCATCTGTATATGACTATACATTGAAAAGGAGCAACATGTTTTCTCAGTATCTTCTATGCTGTATAATTAACCCACGGTATTGTCAATTTTATTTTATTTTATTTTTTTTTTTTTGGTTTTTTGAGACAGAGTTTCTCTGTGTAGCTTTGCGCCTTTCCTGGAGCTCACTTGGTAGCCCAGGCTGGCCTCGAACTCACAGAGATCCACCTGGCTCTGCCTCCCG